CCTTGAAGCAAAGATCAGCGAGACAGGAAAGTTTGCAGGACTTTAAAGGTCAGTGTGTGGCAGCTCAGGGCTGTGGGGCGGGCTCGGGCCCTGCTCAGGCATTGCAGCACGAACACTATAAATAATCTGTGGTTTGTGCTTTTGACCACAAAAGCACCGCTGGGTTCATCCCTCAGTGTGGGACATGGAGCCACAACCGAGAGCAAAACCCTGAGGTGTTGGCACTTTGAGTCATGTTTAGCTGCTGTAAATTAGATTTTCAGTGTTACTGTTGAACCACAGCTTGAAGAGTTCCCATAAAAGCTATTTTTCTTTGCTATTTTTCTTTTATTCAAGTTGTACCTTTTGGCTTTGGTGCTTCCTTAGGCGCCATGATCTCTCTGCATTGAGGTGGCTCCTTGTGGGAATTGAAAGTCTGAGAGGTCCATCAAAGTGGGGTTGCTTGAGTAGATCCATGTGGGCTGGAAGATTTTATCAGGAGGTGGGAGCTGCAGGTTTAAAAGCTCTTCCCAGGGCAGGAGCAATAATGGGAAGGGATTTACCATGGCTTTAACTTAAGTAGTGTACGTGCTGTTTATGTTCTGGACATAATTCAATATATTTCTGTTAAAAAGCAATATAACAGGGCAAGAAGAGTGCTGGGAGTTTGGTTTCAGGTGGAATTAAAACTAGGGAAAATTATCTTTATCATCCTGCTGTATATGTTTCAGGAGGAGGAAGAAACTTATGAGTGCCCTGGACACATAAAAGACATTAAATTTTAAAAAATCCAACACGCTATTTTCCTTCCCTGTGTGTTTTTTTAATTTGGAGTGAAAGTGTTTATGGATTTTTTTTTTCCAAGCATAGTTATAGAATATTGGGATAAACAGCCCTTAAATCTGGAAATAAATTACAGGGGATGTTTGAATCCACCACTCTTTGTAGATACACATTGTGTTTCTCCAGCAGAAGCTGTAGGTGAATGCTACATGTGCATCATGGAATCATGGGGGGTTTAAGGTGGGAAAAGGCCTTGAAGATTTTCAATACAACAATCACCCAGCACCACCACCACGTTCATCACCACACCATGTCCCCAAGTGACCCGTACAGTCTTTTTTTGAGCACTTCCAGGGATGGGGACTCCACCACATCCCTGGGCAGCCTGTTCCCATGCTTGACAACCCTTTATGTGGAAGTTTTTTTCCTAATATCCAACCTAAACTTTCCATGGCACTGCTTCAGGACATTTCCTCTCCTCCTGTCCCTGTTCCCTAGGGGCAGAGCCCGACCTCCCCAGCTGTCCCCTCCTGTCAGGAGTTGTGCAGAGCCAGAAGATCCCTCCTGAGCCTCCTTTTCTCCAGGTTGAACTGCCCCAGCTCCCTCAGCCATTCCTGGTGCTCCAGACCCTTCCGTATTTATATTATTTGGTGGGAAATAGATTTTAGCAAAGCTGTTCCCAACATGCTCACACAGTTACAAGTCATTAATACTTTATGAATACATTTGATTAATGAACTCCAAATTTCACAGTAAACCAGAGAATTTGAATCCTCCACCGCTGTCTTTCTGATATTAACCTGTTTCTTCTCTCTGGCATTAATGAGCTTGATGGAATTTTGCTCCCAGTCCCTTCCATGCCCCTCAATGGAATATAACTATTAATATAAGTATTCCACAATGGCATAGTTGAGATTTAAGCAGTCAACTTGCTGTTCTCCTGGTATATTCATAGTATGACTTTCTAAAAAATTCAATTTACATTTCAGGTTCATGGGGAACCATTTAAAAACTCTTATGTATTAATATAGTTCATATCCTTTATTTTTCCCTCTAAGAGTGAGGGCTAAAGGCTCATCTTAGGCCTGGGGACCTAAAATATGCTGGCAAAGGCCTGTATTTCCACGAGTTCTTTTACCACAGAATCTGTTATTCCATAAGGGAATGCAGCTGTTATTCTGTAGGAGAATATTGCTGTTACTCTATGGAGGAATAACATTCAATTTGGATGATATATAGAACAGTGTTTTATTGCCAGATAAGAACAAGTCACCACGGTGTTTTCCCAGTTGCTGAGGTTTGGAAAATGACTTATTTTCAGAAACGACATTAAAATAATCCTTATTCTGACTGTAATCTGGAATTAATCCAGATTGCATCAATACTCAGTCAAGAACGAGGAGGCTGCAGGCCTCTGGGATCAGGAGGAACGTGGAGCATTTAGCCAGGAAACTGTTAATCCCATTTTTTCCCTCGTGCCAATAGGCATCTCTTTGTGCAGGAGGGCTGGAGGAGGAGGAATGGAGCTGCTCTCTCCTGCCTTCTCAAACTGCTGGATCACCCCCTGGGTCCAGAGGGACTCCCAGCTCCTACAGAGGAACATATTGAATTTTGTTTCCTTCCAAAAGTTGAGCCCTGGCCAGTAAAAGCTTTGGTCTCCCCAAGAATCCTCGGAATGCTGTTACGGAGTTTTGTCCGTTGAGCTGCTCAGCAGCTTCGAATCAATGAGTGAGTAAAGGGCAATCAAATGAACAGAAGATAATTTGTTTTAGAGAAGTTATAACTCATTTTCTGAGGTTGAGCTATTATATTCTGCCCCGTTTGCAAGGGACAGGGTGTTCTGGTCTGGTCTATATGGATTAGACATGTATAAATTGAATTAATAGCACTTTTTTATAGCCCAACAGTCCTGCAAAAGAAACCCTGTGAGTAAAGCAAACAAAAATGTATTAAGTTGTCTCAAATCAAACACCAGACGTTTCTCCAGCTACTTGTTGGCCCTTTCCCAGCATGCCAGGCCTGGAGTCACCCGAAGTTTGCACAAGAAGGGATCCAAAGACCTTTCTCATTTATATCAGCACAAAATAAAAATGCATGAAAGAGGAACATTATGGGCTGTGATTTCTGGAGGCATTTGGATTATAACATATCATGTGGTCTGGCACATTCATCCCCAAAAAAGCTCATAAAAAAAGAGGAATCTTGCTGTTCCCCACTCCTATATTTGAAATGTTTTCTCCTAAATTTCCTTGTTACAGAATAAGAAAGATTGATTCCTGAGCAAGGCTTTCCCCAAAGAAGTCCCAATAAATAGACCTTGTTTGTCTCTGTGCGTGATTAGTTAGGGTGGAAATACAGTGAATCGAACTAGAAAATCTTCTTAACATTGCTCTTTGCTTAAATTCTTTATTAAATTTTATGAAAATTTATTATATGAGATGATATAAAACTGTGCTGCCTCCTGTTTGGTCCGTTCAGGTTCATCTTGCTGCTTCTCTAACAAGCCATGTTAATTAGGCATATAGAAATTTTATCTCATTGCCTTAAGATGGTTTATTAGTGCAAGTGATCCCATAGCAGAGAAGTTCTTGTATCCTAATTAATGCAATTTAATACTTAAATATAAGGTGATGCACTTGCATGTCTTGAATATTCTGCTTAAAAGCTTCTTGCTGAGTCTCTGCTCGCTGAAATACCTGGAGGTCAATCCTTTGGAAATCTTAAACACTGTCCTGTCTTTTAATATCAAAATTCCTGGTCTGGGGAGAGGATGACTGGATTTTCATCTCTAGGGGAGATTTGGTGCTTCAGGGGAGGTGTGGGTGCCTTTGATGTCCTCTGGAGGGTGGGTTGAGAGGGGATGCTGGGTGCAGGGAGGATTTTTGGGCTGAATAAGCAAGAAAAAAGTGTGAACAGCCTGAAAAAAAATGTGACTTCTTTGCAGGTTTCCCGAGCTGCAGCTCTGGAATCATCTCTCCAGAATAACCTGTTTGCTCGGCAGGTTTCAGCTCTCCCAGAACCTGCTTTAGTCAACTAAAGCAGATTCATATGCAATAGTTGGAGTTTAAACAAATCCCTGTATTCAGATGAGGGGGGGAAAGCATGTTCTTATTCCATGGCAAACCTCTGTGTGTTCTTAAATCATTAAATCTGAGCAATTTGGGATATAAATCAGCCTAGAAAGGGAACCGGATCATGCATGGACGGGATGTGTCCAATACCCTTTCTCCAAGGTCTCATTTCATTTGGCTTTTATATTCTGCTTTTAGTTGGGAAGTTAAATCCACAAAGGTCATTTGAAAAGCTTCAGATTATAGATGGAAAGCCCTTTTAATCTTTTCTAATAAATAGCTGAGCAGGGAATAAATCTACTGGGAGCTGAGCTCTGATGTTAAGCCTCAGCACAAAATGCCCATACATGAGCAACACTTGGAAATTATCTCTGAAATTATAATTACCTTAAATAAATTTGACTTAGAAGAAAAGGTGTGTGATTATGAAAACTGGTTTAATAAATGAAGCATTAATTGGACCTGGCAGCTTGGCAGACTCTGTCACCATGGTCCAGATGATTATGAAAGTGATTTAGGCACAACTGAAAATAGCAGTTTCAGTTCAGAGATTTCTTTTAAATGGCAAAAATTACTCTCTCCAGTCGGTGCTTTGGTAAGGCAGGGTTGGAATAAAAGCTTTGCATAACAAAGACTTAAAAGCATTTTGATTTTGGAGAAGCAACAGCAGCAAATGGAAACTAGAGTGTCTGAAATGCTGAAAATACTCTGGGTTATGCCAATGATGTGTATGACATTATCTAGTCTGAGTAGCCTTCAAAGCATTTTCCCCCTTAATTCCACATATAATTAAAAAGCAGCTTCCTCTAGCTCATTAAAATGTGGAGTCCTGTTGGAGCAGTGTACTTGTACATTTATTTAAATGATTAAAGCACAGCTTTAATGCAGACTATAATAACTTCAAACATTAAATCTCTTCTGTGCAGCTCACACTTTATTTTTAACCAGTGTTTACCTTCTCTTCATGAACACCAGCTTGCAAAGGTACATGGTTCCTAGCAGCTCCTTAGATTCTTTTGTGAGCCTCTCAAGAAACTTTCCCCATCCCCTGTTTTTTGATGTGAAATGATAGGAAAATCCCCAAGTTCAGTTGTGAGTGATGCCCATGGAAATCAGGCAAGGCGGTGGCTTTTCCAGTGTAACGATGGCATCTCCCTCTTTTCACAGGCATTTGGAAATGCAAAAACAGCCCATAACAACAACTCCAGTCGCTTTGGCAAATTCATCCAAGTGAATTACCAGGAGACAGGCACCGTGCGAGGGTAAGTGGGAACGGGGTGGGGGTGCTGGGTGAACCCAAACCAGGCTGCAGTAGGGTGTTCCTTGCTTTGGTCAGTATCTTTCCCCAAATGGAGATAGGAAATAAAAATTCATACATTTTAGCTTACTAAAATCTGCTGGCATGGAAATATTGGTGCATCCAAGGCAGGTGCTGAGGTGTGGATGCATCTGAGCTGCCTTCAAGCCAGCTGAGCTCTCCATAATCCTGATATCAAATTTTTAATGAACCTGAAAAGCAGCATCTCCTCACCAGACAGGAGTTAAGGCAGAAAAGGTGAAGGTTTGTGCTGGGATGGGGTAGGGCCTGAGCAGTAGATGTGGAGTGAAAGGTTTGGCACAGGCTCAGGAGCCTAGGGAAGGATTTAATCTCTGGCTGGGAGTTCTGGAGGCCATTGAGCCACACCTTTCTTGCTCTCAGGCTCTTTCTTCCACTCAGGCTCTCCCTCCAAGTCGCTCCTTAACTCAACCCTTGACTAGGGAAGGGCTCTTCTTCCTCCCAGGTCACTGCAAGGAGATCCTTGTCTCCACTGTGGTTCTCCTCAGTTTATTTCAACTTTGGAAATTTAAGAGCAGACCCAAGGAAAATAATTTTGGGGTGATGATTGATGAGAAGCTCATGGACATGTGCACTGGGGACCCAGAAACTCCCCATGGCCTGGGCTGATCCCTCAGCATGGGCAGCAGGAAATGGGGACTCTACCCCACTCAGGTGAGGCCCCACCTGCAGAGCTGCCTCAGCCCTGGGGCCCAGCACAGAGAGGCCGTGGAGCTGCTGGACAGAGCCCAGGGGAGCCCAGGGAGATGCTCTGAGGGTGGAGCCCCTCTGCTCTGGAGCCAGGCTGGGAGAGCTGGGGGTGCTCACCTGGACAGGAGAAGGCTCCAGGGAGAGCTCAGAGCCCCTGCCAGGGCCTGAAGGGGCTCCAGGAGAGCTGGAGAGGGACTGGGGACAAGGGATGGAGGGACAGGACACAGGGAATGGCTTCCACTGCCAGAGGGCAGGGATGGATGGGATATTGAGAAGGAATTCTTCACTGTGAGGGTGGGCAGCCCTGGCACAGGTTGCCCACAGCAGCTGTGGCTGGCCCTGGATCCCTGGCAGTGCCCAAAGCCAGGTTGGATGGGGCCTGGAGCACCCTGCTCTAGTGGAAAGTGTCCCTGCCCATGGCAGGTATGGAACTACATAACCCAGCTTTTTCTCTGGCTTCAGGTAATTTCCATGGCATCAGATCATCACCAAGGAGCTGTAAATGAGCAGGGCTTCGTTAACACCCCCTTTTTGTCCAGGTTAACTGAGTCAGTTGGAAAAATGAGGAGTAGAAGCAGCATTTCAGGGGCTGTATAATTTCTGCAGTTTGCTAAGAGACCTCTTGCTGGGACTTTGTTGTTATTTAGAGAATTGCTTTACAATTTTTTTTGCTTTCTTATTTTTCAGCAGAACAGTATCACACAAAGAGCTGTCATTAATTTTTGAGTGGGCTTGGGTACTCCACGTCCTTTCCCACTGGTTTTGCATCCCACGTCAAACCTGATGCTCTTTTTCCTCCCCTTATTTAATTCTGCTGCACAGTTCTCTTAAAAGGAAAAACCTCATTTTTTTAATACCTCCTGGGTAACAAGAATCCAACAAATGCCTTAACTATGTATTATCTTGGCATGATGTAGCAGCACTGTGGTTGTGGCCTCTATTTTTATTTGGCAGAGATATGCAAATAACTGCATTCTAGTTCATAAAATAGGAGGAGTTTTCTTTGCTTTTTAAAAAATGAGCTTTCTTGGTCTTTGGTCACACAGTATGAGGTGACTGTGCACTGCTATGAGGTTGCAATGCCTCCCCAGTGAAAAGACAAGATGTTTAAAGAAAAATATAAGGATTTTAAAACCAAAAAGTATATGTAGCATACAAGCCCATATTTTTTTCCTGTGAAAGAAGATTTTTCTAAAAACTTAGTCTATACATTTTTAGCACAACCCAAATCAATTATCACCCTGTGTTCTGTGTATCAATAGCCTTGGTAATGGAACTATAAATTGTAGCCCTTAATCAGAGTTTTCCTCTCTTCAGAGGTTGAAAATAGCAGTTGAATATTTGCTTACAGCCCCTCTGAGTATAATCCCCCAAACTTGAAGAGGTGGAACAGGCAGGAGCAGGACCCAATCTGCAGGATCCAACCCCACCCTGTAAGATGAAGTTTTGGATGGTCTCTCAGACTGATGGAATGGGAGCAGTGGTGCAGGTCAGGGCATTCGCAAGAGGCTTCCTGAATTTTGGACATCCTAGTCTGTGATAAACCAGGCCTGGAGGAAGGTCTTTGCAACCTGCTCAGTCCCCATGAAATGATCAAAAGCCTTGAGACCTGACACGATCCATGAAATGGCAGAAGAGCCAGATAGGAGAGGCTTTAGAGCCAGCTAGGAGGGCTTTAAATCAAAGCCCTGTGAAATACAGGCTCTGTGTGCTTAAGTCAGTGTTTTACACAAGATCATTCCCATAGAACTTCTTTTCTTTGCTCTTAAAGGTTGAACTGAGATAGGTGACAATGGTAAATAAAAAGAAATTTGGAGACATTAACTTTTTAAGACATAAGCTGGTTTTCCTACTCACTATCCTGTTACAAGGAAGGACAGATGTTTTTTCTTGGGACATGGATTCATTGTGACCTTTGCACTAAGCAAGGAATAATTTTATCAAAACAGCATTGTAATTGCATCTATTAAAAATATAAAATAAAATTTAAAATATAGAAACTTTATTAAATAAAATTTAATAAATAAATAAATGAATTTCCCCTGATTTAAATAGTGGTTGGGACCAGATGACTTCCAGAAGACCTTTCCAATTATTTTTGGGGTGGTTTATAATAAGAGCAGAAATTATAGAGGTAGGGATTAATGCCAAGGACGTGCAGGTTGTTGTACAGGAGTGTCTGAGCTGTTATCCCATGGGATCTCATCAGTGGGATCTTGCATGCTCTCATTCATGTGTTCCCTGACCCTGCCTTGAATTATGGCTTGGGAAGGAAAAATTTGGTTCAGGTTAGAAAGGGACCATAGAAACCCCATCAAGCTGTGGGTGAGGAATATCCATAGACTGTTCCCAGCTTCCTCCCAGGGAATAAACAGGAATACAGCTTTGCTGTCTGTCTTCCTTTACTCCTCCTGTCCAGCAAGATCATCCAGTGGGGAGTTGGATTTGCCACTTCCAGTAACCTCTTCCAAGAGTTGCCATAAGAATTTTTACAAAACCTCTGCAGCATGTCCAAGTGATTTATATTTTAGTTTTAATGGAAAGAAAGGAGAAAGTTGTGCTGGAGGTAATAATTAGATCTGGCTTTCCCATCTGTGCTGGAGGAAAGCACCTCCTTGTGCCACCATGCCCAAGGTTCATTGGGTTTCCCAATTCCTCCATAGCTCCGACTGTGGGTGCCACATCACTGGGCATGTGTCACCAGAAAAGCACAGCTCCACTATCCAAACTGCCACCTAGAACTCCAGCTTCTAAATCCCTGTCATTACTGGTTAGGTTTGTTTGGAAGAAAAAAACTTGTGGAAGCTTTGTTTAACTTGACAAACCTGAAAAAAGTATTTAATATGTAAATTGAGTGTGTTGTGGAGGCTCTTTGGAGAAAATGTAAACTGTAGTGAGGAGCTGTCGCAATTGTTTATTTTTTTTTTACTGGAGCCAGAAGTTAATAACCCAAATTTTTGGTGAGAAGTGACTCTTCTAGAAGAGGGAAATAGGGATTTGGGGACTGATTCTGCAGCTAAATGGCATCTTGCACACTTCTGCTTGCAGAGGTATTTCCATGTGCATGGCTCCTGGGCTGCAGGCAATGGGATTTTGCTGGCTTTGGATGAAATAAGGATCCGAGCTCCTTCCTTGTGGACAACATTTCTCTTTCCCATAGGCTGACGCATCTGAGATTATGTTTTTCAGATCCAAGTTAGTTTTGGCTTGGTATCAAACCAAAAAAACCTCAAAAGCCAAACATAATATTGGGCTTGTTCTGCTGAGGAAGAAATTTATATAACTAAGTGAAACAAGGCTGAAATTTCTTTGTGTGGGTACCAAGGCTGAAGCCCCCAGTAAAGCTGTGTTCGTTGAAGCTGAGTATCAGGTAAATTAATGATGCTTTGATTCTTCCCTTGCAGAGCTTATGTTGAAAAATACCTCCTAGAGAAGTCCCGACTGGTCTATCAGGAGCACAACGAGCGGTGAGTGCCTCTGTTTTGCCCAAGGCTCGGGTTTAACTCCTGTATGTGGCACAGATAACTTAAATCTCTGGTGGAGCTGCATGGAGGATCAGGATTTTCGTGCTCTTAACCCTGTGCTGCAGAGATTAATGCTGCATTTTATATTTGAATAGTTTGTTGTTTAGGGAGAAATGTGCTAATGGAGGGAATAAACTCCATTATTTTATTAGAAGTCTTTGACTTACCATGGAATCATAGAATAGAGTGTACTGGAAAGGGACCCCTGAAGATTATCTTGTTCCAATCCCTGCTATGAGCAGGGAACCTACCACTACAATATTATTACATTTAATTTAATTTTCACTGACTTTATGGCAGATAGATTATTATGTACCACTTCATTCTTGTGCAACTTGTGAACTGCTTAATATGTCATTTTAGGAGAGAAGCATGGTATTTTTATTTTTCTCTGCAGTTCACTGAAGCCTTTAGAGGGGCTTCTAGAAAGAGCCAAAATTATATAGAGAATGAACTTATGTGAAGTGTGTTCTTTCCTAATTTGCTGCATATTCTTTATTGCATATTCCTCTCCTCTCCCAGTAATTATTATTCCACTTCTAAATAATTTTGCCGCCTTTAGTTGTCTTTCAACTCTTAGACTTCTGGCTGTGTTTCCCTTTGGAGACAGATATGTGAGTTTTCTGGAATGCTCCAGGGCTGTTCCTGGAGTTAAAGAGCATCTACAGCCTTGACAAACGTCCTCTTGGGTGTTGCAAGATGATTAAACTTGGATCCTCTTGGAAAACATCCAACATAAAAGCACAGCTTTAATTTTAGAAAGAAATGGTCTTAGAGTCGTCTGGAAGCAGAACAGATGAGTGTCCCTTGGGGTGGATTTAGTATTAGTGATATTCAGGTATTTTGAATATTTGAGTTTTTGAATACTTAAAGATTTTTCAGTCGTGTCTCATGGAACTGCAACTGGAAAGTCATTGTCTTTTTAATGGTAATAAGGTATGAAGATTCATAATTTCTTCATTGCAAGGAAATATGTTGTGATTCTAATAAAAGAGGTCAGGCTCTAATAAAGGAGCTGGGGACGGTCAGGTCTGCTCTCAGAGAACAAGGTACAGAACAAGGGGAAACAGCATCAAGCTGTGCCAGGGGAGGCTCAGGTTGGACACCAGGAGGAATTTCTTCCAGGACAGTGTGGTCAGGCATTGGAAGGGGCTGCCCAGTTTGGAGTCCCCATCCCTGGAGATGTCCAAGGAATTCCTGGATGTGGTACTCAGTGCTCTGAGCTGAGAACAAGGTGGGGGTTTGGGCACAGGTTGGGCTCAATGGTCTGGGAGGTCTTTTCCCACCTAAATGGTTATGGGATTCTGTGAAATATGTAGGCATTGCACATGGTTCAGAAGGAAAACCTGAGAATCCCAGGTTTTCTAGAAATTATTCTAGAAAGTAGAATTCTAGGGCAGTGGCTGTCCTTGGATGGAGAAGAGGGATCTCATTCTCCATGACATAATTGAATCTGTTTCGTCCCTGCACAGCAGGTACAGACCAGCTCTAAACGGTGTCAGGCCTGAGCTTGGGAGCTGGAAAATCAGGTTGGGAGGTTTCAATGTGCTTCTGCTCAGTGCTGCTGCTCATTTTCGAGTCTAACAGCTTTTCTTTTTCATTTGTCACCAGGAACTACCATGTATTTTATTACCTCCTGGCAGGAGCGAGCGAGGAGGAGAGATCAGCATTTCACCTGAAGCAGCCAGAGGAATATCATTACCTTAACCAGGTGGGAGTTCTATACAGGAATACAATCCTTGGTCTTGCTTTTTCTTCTGCTGATATTTAATGCTAATAAAGAAGAGGTGTGGAGTAGTAAAAGTGGGGGTTTTTAAAGGTGTGGAGTAGTAAAAGTTGGTTTTAAGGGTTTATAGGAAGTCTTCCGTCATTGGAATAATTCTGCATTAGCAATGTGAACACCTGGTAGTGTTTCAAGGAAAAAATAATCAGTGTTTTCTGTACCTGGGGCATGTTAAATGTATTGAGTTTTTGATTGCTGGAGGGAGAAACAGTCAGAATTTCCTGTTCCCTGTGTGAATGCCATTTACTCATTAATATCTGTCTCCTGAGCAGGAGAAGAGGGGAAAATGTGGCATACTGGGATATAACATCTTGCATGAGGAAGTCCTAATTCTGTAGCTTCTGGCTGGCTTTATCACAACCCTCTGAATTTAACAATAGAACAAGTCTAATATAACTAAAACCACAGCAGCCATTGAAAATCTGGGAATTAATGATGGATGAGGTGTTACCAACAGCCAAATAAACTCAGTTTATATTATGATAATTTTATAATAAACTGATTTACTTCAGGTATTTAGACAATTATCCAGTGAGTCTTGCAGGTAGGGACTTCAAATGGACCAAAAAGAGGAGGAATATGTGGAAGAGGAGTTCAGTTGCATGTTGATTTTAACTAATTGCAATTTTCTTGGTGCTGAAACATGAGGAACAATAAAGAGTGATTTAACCCCTAAACTGGAAAGAAACTTGGACCCACAGCCCAAAACAAATAGCCTTTAGTCTTTATAGAAATATAACTTCATTCAGGAATAGCTCTCAATTACCAGGGGCTTTTTAAGGATGTTTTTAAAGCAGGCAATCAACACCAAAATCCACTGTATATTAACGACTCCCACACACCCATGGCTGGATGGGGAAATATTCCCAAGTGAGGAGCACTCCGAGGGCTGGAGGCTCTTTGCTGGAGTCTCCATGCCTCAGGCATTGGTTGGAGAACATGGTGTGATCTCCAGCACCATCTGTGCCACAGTTTTGCAGTGGGAAGATGCCAAGATGGAATGTTTTGTTGGATTCCCAGCTTTTGTTGGTCCATCCAGTTGCTTTCTGTTGAAAACATTGCTTTTAATTACAGTCCTTTTCTTTTACGTAGCAGTTTAAGAGCATTTATATTTAAAAGAAAATTAGAAATCTAACAGCACATAGTCACATAGTGTGAGGAACCAGTAGGAATATTGTAATTTAGGGTGAAATGTTTATTTCAATCTAAATTACAGTGCTGTGCGGCAAGTAAGGTGAAGAAAGCTGCTAAGATCAGTCCAGTGGATCAGGGAAGCAGACTTTGGACTTCCCTGAACACAGTGTATCAACACCAGTGACACTTTTTGGGTGGTTTTTAAATAATTTTTTAGTAATTAGGATTAGAGTTAACACTGACAACTATGGAAAAACCGTGCCTTTAGATGTGGTCTGGGCATGGTATCACATGAAGACCATCTGACAGTGCAGTAGCTGCTATTCCCTGCCCTTCAGGAGAAAGGAAAAGGAAAATAAGGAGAAAAAGGAAAAAGGAGATAGTGGAGAAATGGAAAAATAAACTTGGGAAACATTTAAGAGAAAAATTATAAAAGGACCCTTTAACATTTGTAGTCTCCTCTTAAATGTGTCCTGGAGAAGACCCTGCCTTTTTAAAAGGAAAAAGAGCCAGTTCAGACATGAACTGAAGTGTTTTACTGAAAATTAAATATTCATATAGAGAAGCCATAAAATATTGAACCAGGCCCCTGAAGGAGTGACTCTGTCCTGAGTCAGGTTCCTCGACTCTTGCTGTGCTATGCAAAGCAAATGGGGAGTTTGCTTTGCAGATGAGAAATAATCTATTCAGATACTTAACCAAAATCTTCTCTATATAAGCAGGGAGCAGATTGAAAATAAAGATTTCAATTTATTTTTAAATGCAGATTTACTCAAAGTATCCCCTGAGTATGGGGGACTTTTCCATCTCTCCCCCAATGGCAGGTGAACCCACCCCTGCACAGCCTGCAGCTCACTGAGTATTTTCTGTGCTGGTTGTTAACTTTTATCCATTTTGAAAACAGTCATTTGCAGATTGAGATCCTTATTTTCAGCTCCTCAGGAGCTCCAGTGCCATCTCTCTCTCTCTTGGGACTTGTAATGCTTTGACTTCTCTCAACTCCATCTCTGTCTGATTGGAAAAAGACACAGATGCCTAAAAAGCTTTGGAGTGTTGTTTGGAAGAGTCTCACTTTTGCTGCACTTGTGTTTGTCTGGAGCAGAGGTTGAGAGTAGAAACAAACCAAATTTGTTCTTCAGAGAGATTTTGGCATCAGTGGCTCTTCAGCTCCAAGTAAACCAAGGGTTGTCCCAAGTCTGTAAGACAAGAAGAGGTTTTAGTATATCCATTAGGATTATTGATGAGAGGGCCTCGCTCGATGAGGTGCACTATGAGCAGGAACCAGCACCAGGAATGCAAAACCATCATGAATCTTCCCTTAAAACAAATAAAACTAGGGCATGACTCTGCAGGATAACAGTTCTTTTCCTGCTTAGGGAGCAGGTAGTCGGGGTGATTTGGGGTGGGAACACCACTTAACCCGCTCTGCCTTGCTTTCAGATGACAAAGAAACCCCTCAGACAGAGCTGGGATGATTATTGCTATGACTCGGAGCCGGTCAGTACAAGAACCCGCCTCTTCTGTCTTGCTGGTGCAGGGCTGCTCTCACTTGAGTTTAAGGGACAGGAAGAAAGCCAAATCCAATGAAGTTTAACCCATTAAGCACCCTTTGCCCTGCAGTGGTGTTGCTTGTGACAGTACCGATTTTTTTTTTCCTTGCCCTTTTATGGTTCCTTCCATTTGGAAAGCTTCTTCAGCAGTTGGAGATGGTTAGGTCTCTACAGTCCACCCAGTTTTAAAAAACTAGGGGGGTTTTCATTCCTTCCTGATGGAATATGTGATGATATATGGAAATTGCGATGTGACAGCAATGTGAAAATTGAAATTCCATTCCAATAAAACAGCAAATCAGTGTCTTGAAGCCCCAAGAGATGCATCAGTTCATGCTGGTTTTAGTGGTGTATCTGCTCTCCAGCTTCCAGGAAAAAACAGACAAACCCCAAAACATCCCCCCAGCCATCTGTGAGAAAATCAAATCCTGATATTGTTCAGAGTGCAAAAACAATTCCTTCTCCTAAAATACTTCTGCTGGCATGATCATCCTTTCCAAATGGATCGCCCCAAAAAAGGGAATGGTGAAGCTTCTCCCCCTTCCCCGGCTCCTCCTGCGCACCAACATGCTCTGGGTGTCCGTGTGTCCCGTGGTGCTCCCTGTTGGTGTGTCCTGCATGTGGCAGCATGTTTGGAATCAGCTGCTTGTCCTTCCTGCTAGTTTTCCCGTGTGCTTGATGATTGCCAGAGTCTTGCTGATGTATCTGGAAGAGTAAGAGGTGATCCGGGAAGGAGCTGGGATTCACTCAGGCTAAATAAGTGTCTTAACAGCAACATTTCCCTGCAAATCCTTAGGAGGGGAGGAGGGAATTTCCCTCACAAGGTTAAAAATATTGAATATTGGATTGGCATCCTTAATCCATCAGCATCCTTAGGGGCCCTGCAGGAGCAGGGTGTGATGAGCAGATGCTTCTTCTAGACCTTAATACCCTTTATAAGTTGGAAAACCCTTAATTGCTTTAGGAATGGGTTGGGACAATTTGGTGAAGGAATTAAAATTAAAACTACCCCAAAATTTAGTACCTTCTCCTGGCATGACCAAGAACACCTGCCAGCCTGGGGGCTACCACGTCTGTATCCTTAACTCTGTGCAACAAAACCATGTGTCATTACCATTAGGCTGTTTAATTGCTAATTTATTTAGGATAATTTTATTTGGGATCATTTTCTGTGACGGTCCTGGTAAATCACATCTTTGCTTCAGTTGATTATTGACTCTTAAGACTACCCTGGTCTTCTCCCAATACCCATGGACTCAACCTGCTGCAGACACCAAGTTTATAAAGAAACTTTCTTTTATCCTCTTCAAATTTTCCATGGAAATCATGGATTGCTTCAATGTAACTGTAGGAAGCAGTAGACTCACTTTTACTGGGAAACTAATTGCTCTGGCAGGATATTAACAGCAAGTTAGGTCTGTGGGGATGGACTTTGTGATGCTTGTCTGCTCTAATATCAAGGACACTCCTCTATTTTATAATTATCCTTCATTTATCATCCATTAGGAAGCGGTTCCGTGCTGGAACACTGCAGAGAGCATCCGCTTTTAAGCAAAGAATTCGCTAAAAGTCTTTCCATGCGGATTAATGAGTCGGGCAATTGTTATGTAAATCGTTAATTAAATTGCCTTCGGCGTAGATTGTGCTACTTCGGAGTTGTCCAGGGTATTTTGCTGTTGACGCGTGACTTAATTTTGGAGGAATGATGCCAGAAAATGAAAATGTCTCCTGGAATGTGGAGTGCCACTAAAAGCACCACTTGGTGTCTTTAAAAAAAGCTTTAAACCTGCCTAATTTGCAGGATTTGTGGGTGTGGTGTTGTCCTGCCAAGTCCAGGTCCTGCCAGAACGAGGGTGGGAAGTTCTGCAAGTGCAGTGGCTGAGGAAGCCAAGGCTGGAGCTCAGGAGGGACAAGGTCTTACCCTGAGGTTTTATGATGTGAATAATCAGTGCTGGTGCCTCTGGAGTCCCTGCTCTTGGTGATGTCGTTGCTGTGTTCCTTTAGGTGGCTCTGGAACGGGGTTGTTTCCAATTAGCTCCTAATGCAAGGTGAAAAGGCCCTTTTCTAATGACTGTTTCCTAAAACAGGCTGGTATTTTCTCCTGGAATTTCAGTCCCCGCCTTCATCGATGCTCTGTGTAGTTTTAAATGGTTTTATTGTTCAACAGCTCCAAATTCACTTTGCCCATGGAGCATTAACTTGTCCCTGAGGACAATTGATAAAAACATTTCGATTTTCTTGTCCAGTTGCACTTCTCTGGCTTTTAGTTCAGTTTTATGGAGGCCTCCTATGTTGCAATAAATATTTTAAATATGTAAACAATAGAATAAATAATAACAATAATAATATCAACACTTAAATATATAAATAATATAAATAAATCTATATGTTAAATAAGGGTTTTCCACTCTAATTATAACTACAGCTGTAATGATGCTCTGGAGTGGGATGAAGAACTTCATTGATATGGTTGTGAGGCTTTAAATGCTGTAAACCACAAAGCTGATATTATAACATAACTTCATTCTGTGTATTCTGTATTTATGATTAATTTTCTGTACTCTCAGTGAGTACAAGTGGCTTTTCAATGATTTACGCAACCCTATTTAATGGAGACTTTCCTAATTATTTGTGCAAAATTTTTTGCACATTTGCTTGTTTGATAAATATGATGTTCAGGAAATGATCAAAATCAACTATGTGCATTCAGCTACTTAATTAATTCCAACTGCAGCTACAATTTTTATTTGTATTATTTTAATAAACTTTTTATAGAATTTTATAGAATTTTTATTTGCTTACTTACATTTGGATTAACTTGTTGAGAGTCTCTAATTACTTGTAGAAAATCTTGATTTAAGTGTTAATAAAATAGTCTGAGGTTTAAAATAGCATGATATTGTGTGATACACAATAAACTAATTTTATTCACAGATGGGTAGTTTTTATAGGCAGCAATGGGTAGAATATTAAATATAGGCTAGGAAAGCAGAGAGAAGAATAAATAATCTATGGGAAGCCTACAGTGAGCCAAAGCAGAAGATATTTGGAATTAATGGTCTATAGATTAATTTAAAGAGCATTTCTGATTCCTAAATATTGGTGCAGGACAGCTTTGGTTGGATCTGGAATGTTACTGGATTTTTCCAAACATGTCAGTGACTGATATCAAGCAAAAATTAAACTGTTCAGGCATGTGAGCCTCCAAGAAGTATAAAACGTCCTGTATTTCAGATCCTCCCAGTTTTGAAATAACTTCTTGGTAGTTACTGAAAAATATATTTAAAACTTTGCCTTTCCAATGCAGGATTTAATGCACTGATCATTTACATGAAGTTATCTGAATTCTATTTAAAAATTGAGTTTCCTTTCTTAGGTATAGGACTGAATGTGGAATAAACTGCCCGTAAATGTGGAACAGATTTCATCTTGTTGTTATTTCCCATCCTTTTTGTGTAGGGTCACACTGACCAACTTTCACCATACTGTTGGAATGAGGTGGCTCACCTCTTTCCTTAGAGGTTAAACCTGGGAAAGAAGGATGTATTTCCAGAAAATATTCGCCAGAAATGTTGTATTTCCAGTGCCAGGTTGGAAATGTTGCTGATAAAAGACCTGGAGATCACTCAGTGATATTTATGGAGTGCTGACTTGGCCATCTGGACCTGATGTGGTGTTAATTGTGTCAGTGCTTCCTCTGTGTGCTTGACCCAACAGGATTGTTTCTCCGTGGAAGGGGAGGACCTGAAGCACGACTTTGAGCGGCTGCAGCTCGCCATGGAGATGGTGGGGTTTCTGCCCAAGACACGCAGACAGTGAGTTTATTTTCCATTTTAATAGCTTGGAGATTGTCCTGGTTAATGCCACTTCCACTGGCAGGACATTGTTCAGAGAAGCTGTGGCTGCCACATCCCTGGAGGTGTCCCAGGCCAGGCTGGATGGAGCATGGAAGAACCTGGGATAGTGGAAGTTGTCCCTGCCCATGGCAGGATGGAGCCAGATGAGTTTAAAGTCCCTTCCAACCCAAACCATTTTGTGATTCCATGACCATTGCTGTACTTAACGATTCTCTTCATGCAAATGGAGCGTTGGCAGGAGTTGACATCTTCAAGTATTTCTCAAGTGTTCATGAATAATCACGCCTCACTCTGCATGTCATGAATCCAGAGCTTGGTTTAATCAGAAGTCCTCATTATCCCTCATCAAACGTAACCCTTTGCATGCAATTCTATGTCTGTAGATTCATTTCCAACTGGCCTTTTTCACTAATTTACTGGACATGCTGGTTTGAAAACTGGACTTTAGCTGGGTTGCAGCACCACTGACACCATGGAATTAGAGGGTTCATAAGGGTCATCTCCAAGCAAACCTACAAAATAATCCCTCCTGTGTTGATTTTTGGCTTGCAAGGCTTGAGTAGGTTGGAAAGAACTTGACATAAAAAATCACTTCAAAGGTATTTTCACACAACTGAGAAATTTTGGAAGCTCATCTTTTTTCCCTCACTTGTAACAAATCAATTATGAAATTAAAACTGCTTTTTCTCTATCTTCCACACACACGTGGATAAACCCAAGGATCCAGACTTGTGTGAATATGTTCTGTGTCAGAGGCTGCTTTATCAGGTTTCAGGACAAGGTTTGTCTAAAGCCTGTTGAGGGGTTTAATTGCCTGAGCAAAGCAATCAGGAAGTGTCAGGACTGAGCAGAGTCGGGTGATGCAGTAAATTCTCACTTCTGATTTACTGTGCAATGATTTTTCTTGGCACACAAGTTGCTCCTGGTGAATTTTACGTGTCAAAAATAAAGTGGATTCTTCACTACATGAGCAGGTTTATTTTGCTTGGTGTTATACAACTGCAGCACAAATAAGGAACCACCTTCAGCTGAGATACAGGGAGTATGTTTTAAGTACTACTATACTTTAAAAAGTCATTTCTTTATAGCAAAACAAGGGGATTCACCTTAGTGGAAACAGAGAAGAAAATTTTTTATAAAATTGTATCTTGAAATTCACAACAAGGAGTTAGTATCCATTCCTGTTTTGGAGATAAGGGAGGACTTGGAGAGGTGAAGGTGTGTTGTCCAGACAACCTGGTGGCATAGCTAGGAATCACATTTGGGTTTTTTCAGTTTTAGGTCCCAGGAGAGTATAGAATTAGGGACAAACAGGATTTATAGCTGAAGTCAGCCATAGCTCAGGAGTTCAACTTGATGAACTTTGTGGATCCCTTCCAACTCAGGGTATTTTTGAGTGTCTGATTGTATTTTTTTTGGATGGGAGGTAACCTAAAAATTACCAAATTCCCTCCAAAACAGAAAAATTGGTTGGATAAATTTACTTGAAGTGTAACATCCTTTTCTTTGTCTCAGTTGCTTAGATATTATAAAAGCATTTATGCTGTTTTGTACAGTCTTTTGTTCCTGGCTGGGACTACATCCAAAAAGGTGACAAAAACGTGTGTCCCAGGGGACTAAGAGGGATCACCTGCATGGCCATGCCCACTCCACCCCTTGGCAATTGTATGATAAATATTTAATCTGAATACCAAGATTACTGGAGGTTTTCTATTTTTCTTAAAACATGGGATGTAATTTTATAACTGTGGGTTTGATGTGTTGAATAATTTTCAAGGAAACTGTGTGGATTCAAGTTTGGTACTTGACTAAATAAAAATCTTTTTGACATGAGGCAAAGTGGATGCTTTGGATTGAAAATTAGAAGAATGAGCCAAAGAGGGACATGGCCCTTGGGGGCAAAATTTGCTTCTTCATTCACTTTATGAAAAACTGAGTGAAAATGAATTCTCTCTATTTAGAATTTTCTCTCTGCTGTCGGCAATCCTGCATCTGGGGAACATCTGCTACAAAAAGAAGACATACCGGGATGACTCCATCGATATCTGTAACCCTGAGATACTTCCTGTCGTGTCAGAGCTGCTGGAGGTAAGCTCTGCTTTCTCTTCTGAATCTTTCACACCAAACAAGCCACCTCTGGTTTAGGAGATAAAACATGCTCAATTTATTTCCAGTTTCACCAAAGAGTAACTTCTTGTGTGTTTCCATTCTTATGGGCTGTTCATGTTTGCCAGGGAAAAGGTACAGGAGCTTTTCTAAAGAGGTTTTTCATGGAGGGGTTTTGCCCCTACTCTTCAGCTTCAGGTTTCATTGACTAAAAATCCTGTTTCTGTGATGAAATGTGAAAGGGTCTAGATGCAAAGCAAACCTGCTGCCCACCATGGCAGTGTCTTAATTGCCAGCCATCAGCTGGTGCTCCTCAAATCCGTTCCAAAGTCTGTCTGAGGAGCTCGAGCAGTTGTACAACCCTAGCCCCATGTTTTTGTTCTGTGCCTGCTGGAGGAAGTGCTGAGCTCCCTCACTGTGTTTTTTGTCTTTTATTCCCCACCAGATTCCACAAGGGAATCTGTAGGCCCATCTCACCCCTCTAGTCCCTATTTATGGGCCTGATATGGAGTTCTTTGGTGCAACTGTTGATTATCTGTTGTTTAGGACCTGATACCTTGGCCTCTGTGAGCCACTGCTGTGCTGGTGTCCTTGGGGAGGGTTTGTAGGTCTCCACCTAGCTGGCCCAGGCCACACCAGCTCTGTAAATCAGTGCAAAAGCATTAAATGAGTTCTTAGGAGATCTTCTCTGTCAGCCCAAGCAGGTTTTGTGTTGTATTGTAGTACTTCTTTTCATGAGTAAAGTCTTGAATGAGCCAACATGTCCTGCTGGCCTTCAGCCTTCAAGGGCTGAGCTCAAAAACCTCCTGACATGGATTGAGGTGGCTAGAACTTCCCCTTGCTGTCTCACTTCTCTTGAAATGCTTTAAACCTCTTGCAACGGAAATGTTTTTCTTGTAGTTGATTATAGCAACAATTGTCTTTACCCTTTTGTACTTCTTGAATAGTCTGGAAGGTGAATTTTTGCTGATTTTATGGTAGAATCAGAAGGCAGCTTGGCCTTTTGTATTACACGTGGTGCTCTTCCCATCCATTCCATTAAGTAACTGTTGTGCTATCTCCCTACCTACAGAACTGGGGAATTGGCTCTCAGGGATTTTCATAGCACTTCATTAATGCTTTGAACTTTGGGAGGGGAAAGCTTCTGTAAAATATGGTTTGAGCAGCTGGATGCTCTTTGCATCTTGGCCTTGGAGACTGCAGAAATAAACAGAAGGAAAATATAAGTGGAGAGGAGAATGTTGTTGATTTTACCCTGTTAAATGTGGCCAAGTCAGTTAAGTAATTTTTTTTTTTTTTTAAAGTTTTGAGTAAGAGAGCAACTTAGAGAGCTGAAGAAGTTCCAGGCTTTGGGTCTTTGCCTTTGCAAACAAACCCTTTTGCAACATCTGCACATGGGGAGGTCATGGGGTGGTTTTTACACATGATTATGTGAAATGAGGCATTGGCTGAGCCATGTCAATCCAATGGTGCCTCAATGCCATGGGCTGGAGCAGCACCCCCAGGTACTGTCAACAAGATGTAAAAATCAATAAGTACATTTATTTTTCACCATTTGAAAAAACAAGCAAACAAACCACGAGGATCCGATGTAGCTAAGCAAATTGATAGATTTCTGTTCATCTTGGTAATTCTTTTTGCAAATTAAATGACCATCTAGAACATAAAATGCTTTTTAATTAGATTGGGACAATGCTTGCTGCACTGAGGTAGGATCTGATGAAATGCATCAATGGGTTTGGGTAAGTGCTGTTGTTTGTCCCTTAAGTTGAATTTAGGTGATAATTGATCCATGGAACTGGAAGCATTTGCTGCCTCCAAGTGTAAACCTTTCAACAGACCCACTGAAATCAGCTGAAATAAAGCCAATAATCTCATTTTCAGAGTTAATTTATCTTTATGAAATGCCACATTTCTCTTTGCAGACCTCAACAGATGTTGCTGCTTATTCAGGTTTGATCCAAAGGAAGAACCAAAGGGTTCAAACAGATGAAGCATCATTACAAAGAGCAGGCACCACTCCTTATTCATTACAGCTCTCCACATTAAGTGCAATGAATTCTACTTAGCCAGAGATTTAAAATATTGGTTAAAACATTTGACACTTTGTATTTTGTCACATTTGGGTAATTATTTTTAATACTTTCTTGTGGTCACTGAACAGTTTTGCTTTTCCCATTGTTGCTTATATTATGAATTGGCTTGAAAAAGTTGTTAATCCTCTCTCCAGATCTTGGCATTAGACACTAATAACTGAAAAGTCATCTCAGAATAAAAGTAATATGAGCTAGAGAGAGAGTTGAACTTCCTTTCCTGTGGTCACTGGCTGTTTGGTGGGACCCTTCAGAGCACAGCAAAGGGATGGAAGAAACTGTGATCTGATACTTCCTTACCTTGGGGGAACTTCTGGGTTGATCTTTATACTCAAATGACTCATTGGATTTGTTCAGTCAAGAATTTGACATGGAAAAGAGAAAGAAAAAATCCAACTGGAGCCGTGTTTGCCATCTCTGAAGCAGCCAAGAGGGGATGCAGAGGTGCCCCAGCATGGCTCCCACAGGGATGTGGCCTCCAAGGGCAGGAGGGGAACCACCAGCCTGGCTGAAATTCAAAACTTAGGCAAAATTAGGGTCTTCTCCCACTGCAAAGGGGAATCTGGCACGAATTCTTATGAGCTGGTTGGTTTGTGTCAGGATCTCTAATGATAACTGGAGGAATTTCCCTGCTGCACCAGTTAATGCAACACCACTGCACCACTATCCTCCCTCTGTGTAACGGGATTTGTGTCCCTATAAAATGAAGCTAATACAGTGATTTTTTTTTTAAGGAATCTGGGAGGAGATGATGATCTGCAATGGATTTGCTTTTTCTTAGACATTAACAACCCCATCCAATATGTTTTTTGCTTTATTAAACCATCTAGAGCAGCATTTGTGAAACTGCAATATAGGATTTTGGCCAGACTCTACAGATCATTGTTTCATTTACAGTAAAATCCTGATTCCATTTTTTTTTCAGGAATAGACATAGCGTGTGGATTATGTGATGCTTTTGGCAGATTTTTCAGGGCCTTTGTTTAAACTCTGCTGAAATGCTGTGCTGGGGAGTGATGTCAAGGCTGCCTGATGGATCAAGCAGACATGGAGTCCTGTGCAAGCACTGCAAATATCCCAGGGCCTGGGCAGAAATCATAGAGGGTTGTGTAAAAACCTTTGTGTTTTTGGGGAAAAAGCTTGGAAAAGTTCATTTGTGGGCTTATTAACAAAAATAATATATTAGAGATTATCTAGTGGACCTTAAAAGAGACTTTTTGTGTTCCATTGGAACAATAGGAACATTTTAATTGTGTGTGTTTACTAAAATGGGAAATTATTTCCATGGATGGAGCATTGAAGAAGGAGATAAATTCTGTCTTTGCTCAGTGGAGCAGTTTTGTATTCAGCTTTTAGTTTTAGGTTACCAATGCAATACCTAACCTCAATGCAAATAAAGATAAATACAAGTTATCAAGTGCCCTAAATTAGTTTTGCCAGATCTCCCAGTGCACATTTGTGTTTAGAGCTGAAGTTGGCCTCTTCAGGAGATTTATGTGCTCAAGTTCCTCTTCCACTAAAAAATGGCCTTCAGCTTCCCAGAGGAATCCCACAGGCACTGGGGCTCCTCCTGTGATAAATGTCTTGGAAATTAATTGGGGAGGGGGTGAGGATTATGGAGCAGACAGTGCTTGCTTCCAGCGTTTTCTTCTGGATTTGTTTTTCAGATGATGCTTTGTAGAATCACAGAATGATGAGGGTTGGAAGTGACCTCCAAAGTTCATCTGGTCCAACATCTCTGCAATGAGTTGGGGTATCATCATTGAATGCAAAATTTTGAGCCAGAATTAGAGTCAGAAAACTTCAGCGAATCATAGGATATGCTGAGTTGGAAGGGATCCACAAATACCAATGAGTGTAACTTCACAAACACAGCCCTGCACTGACACTGCAACAATCCCACCTTGTGCCTGAGAGCATTGTGCAAATGCTCCCTGAGCCGTGGCAGCCTTGGGACCCTGACCATTCCCTGGGGAGCCTGTTCAGTGCCCCACCACCCTCTGGGGGAAGAACCTAAACCTCCCAACACAGCCTAACACATCTCCTCCTCAGCCATTCCCTCTCATCCTTTTAACTCTCTGGTTATTTGAAAGAAAGTCTGAGGAAAAGGTCCAGCTCTTTTCCAAGAAGAGCTGATAGAAATCTGAATTTATTTTCAGTTACTCCACACAAGGCATCTTTAGAGTGAGCCCTCAGCACTGTAATCCCTTTCTCAAATATGGAAGGAGAGGCAAAACCTGATGTTTTCTTGTTCTCCAGCTGGAAATGGTTCATTTTTCTTCAGCTGCTCTAACATAATACCCCAGAATTACTGGAGGAGCAGTCTCTGCCTGTCTTGGCTCCAGCCCAGCCCTTGCTGGCTCCCTGCTCCTGCTGTGCTCTGCTGACATTCCCAGCTGTGGCACTGCTGGTCACCCCTCACTGCCTCATGGACTTGAGGCCTCCAGCCATCTCTGGGCCCACTTGTGGCAACAGAGTCTTAAATCTGCATTTTGTCTCTGTAATTAAGATCTAAACTCCTGCAGGCTGTGTTTAAGAGGGAGAGCAGGCCATGCCCTTTAGCACCAGCAAGCAAAAGTCCATGAAATGTAACCCAAGAGTGAAACTCCTAGGGCACAAAGTAAAGGAATAAGTGATGTTCTCCTCTTTGCCACTCTGCACCAATGGGTGTCCCTGTTTCAGTGTTTCACACTTACTGGGGGAGGAAGTGTAGGATGTGGGGAAGCTGCAAATATCTCCATGTCCTTAGTCATCAGCACGTGCTGAGTTTATCTTTAGAAAGCCCCAGTGGCTCCTCCCTGGCATCAGGAGTCAGCTACTTTCATGCTGTGACCTTGAATGCAGATTAGGATGATTTGGTTGCACCCGTGGTGCTCATCAGAGGCGATGAAGGAATGGAGATCAAGCTCCACTGGGTGGTAATTGCAGGCAGGGGCCTGGGGAGATGCAGGGATTCCTATCCTTGCCAGGAGTGTTTTTGTACAAGATGATTCAATGGGATCTCCCTAGGTCAGGAGATGAAAGATGCACATCCACAGGTTCCCTTAATCCAGAGAGCAGGGAGAGAAAGAACCAGAGTGACCATGAGATGGGGATGGTGAGGGATGGCGTGGGTGGTTGTTTAAATTGCTCAAAATCCCTGTGTTTGCTGACAAATGTGGGATTTGGAAGTGTTTATGTTGTTGAGGAATATTTCTTTGGACTGTTTTGATTAGGAACCATCTGACACCCCTCCGCCTTGCTGCCTTGGATAATTAAAAAAAGCCAGCATGCTGGCTGTGGCTTTGCAGCATCCCTGAAGTGGGATAATGGATGGTGTGAAACTCACTTTTGTTCCAAGTTGTGCAGTTGAGGGAGAGCAGCCGATGGTCCTGCAGCTGAGAGCTGCTGGAAAAACGTCCGCGGAGCCGAAAATTACGAAATCACATATTTTGGTGATTGTAGAGGAATAGAAACCAAATGTGAAATCTTGCTGTGGATCCCTGAATGAACCAGAAGATTGTTTTTTTCCCTGCTTGATTTTGAAAGGTAAAATCGGACTGTAGGAACTGGGGGCTCCTGAGTAGTGCTGAGCACTAAAGAAATGAACCTTGAAGTGTCATTTCCAGTGATAGAGACCTTGCTGGCAGGTGACATCATATACAGGTGACTTGATGTGTTCTGATTTCCACAGTGACAAGTTCTTGCTGCAGGAAGAATTTTGATATAACATAAAAACTCCCTGGATTTTATCAGGGAGACTCCGATAATAGTAGTTTTGTCAGAAGGAGATTTTTGTACAGAAGGGCATCATTATGGCTATGGTTTGTGAGATTTCTGACCTTCCACTGTCTTATTTGCATTTCCTCTTCATACTAATTCATGGATTAAACCCTTAAGTCAAAGTACATAGATGGAATTGTTCTGGTTGGAAAAGACTTCTAAGATTGTTGAGTCCAATTGTTAGACCTCTACGTTTCCTATTTTCCTTGTCAAATCATGAATTGTTTCCCTGTGATAAAAATATGGCCTTGGATGGCTTCAGGAATGTGGATTTTGATCAGAGATGTCCAGAGGAGGTCTGGTGCCTGCATGGAGTCCTTCAGGCAGGATATGCAGTTTGTAGAGAGATTTCAGTGCAGCTTCTCTGTAGCAATCCACATCCATTAATTCTGGGCTCCAAGGTTTTCACCCAGACTCATGATGTCTTTTTTGACTTGGAAATTTAGTGAAGATCAGTCAACAACTCAGTCTTTAGGTCTAACTGATGTATTTTGGGAGGACACCTTCTAAATTCCTCAAAGTAAGAGGGTCTTGAAGCTGATTGGGAAAGTGGCTTTTCCCCAACAGCTGCAGACACCACTTAATTTGTCAGGCACCATTTTTTTCTTTGCTGAGTGTCTGTGTTTGCACAACTGAGTTTTGTTCTGCAGACCTGTGAGGGCTGATTAGAGACTGTCACCTCTCCAGGAACTGGGGCTTTAGGGAGTAAACATCCAGTGCCAATAGCAGAGTAAATATCAGGTGCTTTTCCAAGGGTTTCTTCCTTCTTCTGACTCCTCCCCTCTCTTAAAAGCAGGAAAAACCCCCTCCTTCACTTGCATGTCTCTAAAACTCACGATACTGCTTGGCTTATTCTAGAGTAATTTGTGTGATTTCATCATGACAGCACTAGAAAGTTGACTTATTTTGCCAAGAGAAAGTGTGGGGGGGAGGAGCCTCACCGGGAATAAGGAAAGCAATGGGAAATTGCTACAACTGGGATGCCTGAATGCAGAAAATCAGGCTCCTTTGAATACCCTGGTGTTAGGTTTCTGATGCTGGATTTATGTGCTGAGTTGGCTCCTCCCGATGGCATGTTTCTACCCATTGAAGTTAACTCTGCAAAGGCTGGCAAAAGTGGGTTGTTGGTTTTTTTTTACTTAAATTTTGAAATTTGAATGTGTTTACACTGAATTTTATTCTTTTAAAGTTTAAATGCTAGCATTTTTTAACTGGTTTAAAAAAAAAATAGAGATCACTAGAATAGTCATTAACATCTGTACTTTTGTTTTAGGTGAAAGAAGAGATGCTGTTTGAGGCCCTTGTGACCAGAAAGACAGTGACAGTGGGAGAGAAGCTGATCTTACCATACAAACTGGCAGAGGTCAGTACATGATGTTTGTTATTAAAAGGAAACTCTTGGAATGGTTTTCAATTATTTTGAGGTGCACACTCAGAGTTTCTTTCAGTTTTTATTTATTTATGTTAAAATAATGTAGGAGAAGCTAATGGGTGTCCTAATCTAGGAAATGATTGACTTTTCTTCTATTCCATTCCTGGAAGGCAGGTTTGCACTTTATTCTGATGGTTTGTAAGTGCTTTAATGACTTGTGGTTGTGTGAGAGTTGTCTGAAGCAGAGCTGTGCATTGCTGAGTGTGTGTGTGGTGCAGGTTTTCATCTCCAGACAGCATTCCTTAAGCTGGAGCACTGATTCCACAGCAGAGCGCTGACCCAAGACTCCAGGAAATTTTTATTGCCTTCTTGAGTGTCTGTGTTAGTGGTGGTTCTTGTATGGCAGGAGCTGCAGATCTCCACAGGAGATTCCCAATAACGTTTCCTCAGATCCTTCACAATCTGGGCCCTTGTGTGATGCTTTGGAGCAGCCACAAACCCATCAGCTTCTCTCAGACTCCCGTCTAGTTCTATGGGATCTAAATGGGATTTTCAGGAATTCTGAATTCTATGCTGTGGCTGGTAGAGAGAAACTAATCTTTTCCTCTTATATTCTTCAAAATACATAAGTTCTGTTCTGCTGAACTACTTGTTTTGGCTATTTCTGCCTCTAATCTTCTTGTATCCCCCAGATTAGGAACGCTGATCATCACAGCACACTTGGTCCCTCCATTCCCTCTTCTTGTAGGGTTGTGTAAGAATTTAGAGCACCTTGAATAGCATCTCAGGAGTGGCCTGTTGTGTCACAAATAACTAAACACATCATGTTCTCACTAGGGGCAGCTGGATATATTTCCCCTCCTTTTTCCAGGGAGAAAAAAAAAAAAAGTATCTATTCTCCCACTTTAAGGGTGTGTTTAAGCTCAGTAATTGTTTCTGAGCTTTAACCTTTAGAAGTGAAGTGTTGCCTTTGTGCAAAGGTGAAAGGGCACTCAAGGGCTCTCTGGGTCTTTGTGATGGACATTTAATCAATGTGGTGTTTCTACTTTTTTCCTCCATCTTGGGCACAGACTTGAAAAAGTGGCTAGAAAAGTTTGGAACTGAGCTGTAAGTACCCTTCTGCTTGCTGGAGGTCCTTAGAGTAATAAATGGGCTGGATTGGAAGGGGCCCTAAAGATGATCTTGTTCCAGACCCTGCCATGGGCAGGGACACTTACCACTGGACCAGGTTGCTCCAAGCCCCATCCAGCCTGGTGTGGAACACTTCCAGTGATGGGGTAGCCACAGCTGCTCTGATCAACTTGTGCCAGGGCCTCACCACCCTCACAGCCAACAATTTCTTCCCAATATCCCATCTAATCCTACTGTCTGTCAGTTTGAAGCCATTCCCTCTTGCCTTGTCCCTTCAGACCCTTGTCCCAAGTCCCTCTCCAGCTCTCCTGGAGCCCCTTTAGGCACTGGAGCCTTCTCTTCCTCAGGCTGAACAATCTCAGTTCTCTCAGCCTTTCCTCACACCAGAGCTTCTCCATTCCTCTGATCATCCTGGTGCCTCCGCTGGGCTCTCTCCACATCTTTCCTGTGCTGGGCTCCAGGGCTGGGGCAGGTCTGCAGGTGGGGTCTCACCTGAGCAGGGCAGAGGAGCAAAATTCCCTCCCCTGACCTGCTGCCCAACATCTGTAGTGTATTGACACTGCTGGGAGTGTGCTTGATGCTCTTTCTGTTGAGTTGAACTAGAGTGGCTCAGCATGAGTTTCTCAAGTGCTTTCAAGGTGATATGGCTGCTCCCAAATCTCAGGTGTCCCCTTAGAAAGGTTTATCACCTATATCAGAAGAAGAAAGGAAAGATCAGGGTGTGGTGGCTGTGGGGGAAGACAAAGGAGGGCAAGACTTCTTTGAGAATAGTTGATGTGATCTCCATGACAAAATCATTTTGGAAGAACCTGTGAATTGTGTTAAGATGAGCACCTCCCATGTTTTTTGTTTGCCTCCTTACATCATCAGAATCCTGACCACTAAATTTTATCCATCAGTGACCTCACTCTGGGAGCAGGTTCAGTGCTCACAGAGCAGAATTTGAGATGCTCCAACTTGAACCTCCCCATGGTAAGAGGCCTTCTCCTGGCCTCAGGAGTAGGCCAGGGGGTAGATGTAGGAGGAGTGACTTGAATTCAGATCTGTCTGAATCAGGAGGGAAGAATGGGATTCATTTGACATTTTGGGACTTCACAAAGACTCCTGATGTCTGATAATCCCCACTCATGACTCACTGGACTCTTGGGGATCAGTGGGCTGGTTATTCCTGTGTATTTAACAAAGGAGCATTATATTTGGCTCCAACGGATGGAGCCGTTGAGGGTTTGAGGATTTGGAGACATTGATCTCCTACCACGACCTCTGTAGCTCATGGGCAGCTGCCTTTCCTGATGGACACAGCAGCTATTTTATTCTTCAGATGCCTGTGGGTTTTTTCATAGCTTGGTACACTGAAATTTTCAGTGGAGTTTGTCTGGAAAAGACTCTGTTCCACAGGCTCTCACAAAAAGGTTTGCATAATGTCATTTTGGCATGTCCTTGCTTCTTTACACCATCAAGAAGAACAGATTGGATCTACCAGTCTTCAGATTGCAAGAGAGATGGTAGATGCTACATCCCTGGAAATGTCCAAGGCCAGGCTGGATGGGGCTTTAAGGCCCTTGCCCATGGGCTTTAAGGTCCCTTTCAGCCCAAACTGTCTGGGATTCCATGTAAAAAGCTTGAGATTTAAATTTGGGATGGGTTTTGAGCTTTGATGAGGTTCCCATGTGTGTCTGCTCCATTCCGTAATGTTTCACTTTCTGTGCTTGGCACAGGGGCTGACATTTGCCTATCCCTTTCATCAGTGTTGGAGTATGTGGAGATGACAACTCCATGCAGAAATGCCTTTCGTGGAAAGTGAGTGTGATCATTCCATGATCACAGCCTGGCTTCTGAGAGATTTGTGCCCTTAGGGTCCTGCTGTGACAACTGTCACCCCCTTTAATAGTCTTGAATGGGCAGAGTTGGCCTGAAGGGATCCTTCCTTTTGGTATTTTGGAGGCTTCAGAGCTGAGACTGGAGTTTTATTTTCCAAGCTAAGCCTTTTCTCTTCCCCTTCCCTGAGCTGCAGCCCCAGAGCACATGGAGAGGCTGACTTAGTTGGATTTGCAGTGATGTCACATTCCTGGCTGGCTGCACGCTCCTGCCTTCTTGTGTGCTGATTGGAAACACAGTCCTGTGGTTTGGGGCTTTTTTTTTTTTAGAAACAGTGGTTTGGACACTTGGCAGCTCACTTGAAACATTCTCTTTAAGTTATGAATTGATACCAGACTGACTGTTCCTGGTTCTGTTCATCTTTGCAGTAATTTGGGTAAAGCTGCATCTTTTATTCTGGCATGCTTTGGGTAGAAGGTACTGCAAAGTGGGGACAACTTGTGGATGGACATCATGGGATCACAGATGGGTTTGAGTTAGGAGGGACCTTAAAGCTCATCTCATTCTACCCCCTGCCATGAGCAGTGACACCCTCCACTATCCCAGTTTGCTCTAAGTATTGTCCAGCCTGGCCTGGAACACTTCCAGGGATGGGACAGCCACAGCTTCTCTTGGCAACCTGTGCCAAGGCCTCTCCAGCCTCACAGGGAGGAATTCCTTCCCAATATCCCATCTAACCCTGCCCTATGGCAGTGGAAGCCATTCCCTGTGTTCTGGCCCTCCATCCCTTGTCCCCAGTCCCTCTCCAGCTCTCCTGGAGCCCCTTCAGGCCCTGGCAGGGGCTCTGAGCTCTCCCTGGAACCTTCTCTTCTCCCAGTAGTTGGAAGCTTGCGGTGTTGAAGAAGCTGCAAGTGGCAACCCCCAGTAAATAAACCTCTGTTTATTCATATTGTACTTCCTCTCTTAGGACTTCTCTTGATTGTTTTGCTTCAGGAGTTGAGTTGGGCTTTTCCCTCAGGAATAATGTGCCATTTTAAAGTTAGACAGAAATACTGACTTTGTCAACTCTGTGTTTCTTTTAATAAATTCAAGACTTTTTGATTCTTGCCTGCATATAATTATTCTGCTAGATGATCTTGGAGAATTCAAGGACTGTGTTCTAATACCTGAAAGGGAAGGCTCCAGAGTGAGTTTTTACAAGGGTCTGGAGTAGCAAGACAAGGGGAAATGGCTTCAAATTGAAAAAGGGCAGGGTTAGATGGGATATTGGGAAGGAATTCTTCCCTGTGAGGGTGGTGAGGCTCTGGCACAGAGCCCAGAGCAGCTGTGGCTGTCCCATTCCTGGAAGTGTCCAAGGCCAGACTGGACAATACTTGGAGTAACCTCGCCTAGTGGGAGGTGTCACAGCCCATGGCAGGGGCTGGAATGGGATGGGCTTTAAGATCCCTCCCAACTCAAACAGTCTGTGAATCTTTGATCTAGATCAGGTAACAGGTTAAATGTAACACTGAAGTCCAGTGAGGAGGTAGGATTGCAGCAATTAAAATCAGGGTCTCCTGTGTGCCAGCAGCTGCTGGTTCTGTCATCTTCAGCTGAGCAAGTTCTCTTCCCAGCAGAGAGAAGATTTCATTTTACTTTATTTTACCCATGAACATCCAAGGTATGTGGCAGCAGCATCTGCTTGAGGAGGGCCAAAGGTAGGAGCAATTAAATAGTTGTGAGCCAAACTCCAGGGATTCTTGGTGTGTAGTCAGTGCCCATAGTTAGGATGTTACAGGGATTATGGGATGAGCACATGGTTTTTCAGGAAGACCCTACAAAGCATAACGTGCCATCAGCTTTTCTCATCATTCAGTAGCTCATGGTTTATTGTTTGCATGTTGTGTCTGACCATGATATTTACATCCAAGTACATCCCCATGTCTCTGGAGCTGCAGCTCTTTCTGAGATGAAGGAGAGGGCAGTCAAGGGGAGATCTGTTTTGCAGGGGAAGACTACTTTGTTTTGCCTCTCGTGGCTGTGGCACCGTTGGCAAACGTGCT